AACCAGGGCCCACCAATGGTTTCCAATCCCACCTCCTAGCCAGTTTCTGTAGGGCTCTTTCTAGCGGTAAATCTGACTGCTGGACCTCTACTCAAAAGCTTTCCAGGGGAGCTTGAGAGTAAATAGGGAGCTAATAACAATGGGTACAGAAATGAAGAGAATGTCCTAAAATTGGTTATGGGGAGAACTGCACAACTCTTTTAACATATTTTAAACCATGGAATTGTAAGGTCTATGAATTACATGCCAATAAAACTGTTAAAAAAAAAAAAAAAGAAAGAACTGGAAACCAAAAAAAAAAAAAAGCCTCTTCCTCCTTCCTCCTGGAGGGTCTTCCTTTCTGACTTACCTGGGAGTGCTTCCCCTGAGAGGCAGGCCCAGGGGCCTGTCACCACCTCCAGAAGCTGCCCCTGATTTCTGACCCTCTCCCTGGGGGAGTTGTGTGCTTCCACAGGGTGATGACAGACACAGCACAGAACAAGCTGGCTCACAGTCCAGTGTCGGCTCCCCACCCCCACCCCCATGGCAGAAGGCTGCGGTGTCTGCAGCACAGCACAGATCTGGGGACAGGGAGAACTCCTTTGTCACTTCTCAGGTATTCCAGCAGACAGTGGCCTGGGGTTGAGGCTGAGCCTGGGGGTGGGGGTGATTGTTGTCACGCCAGCTCAGGAGCCTCCCCAGGCATCCACAGCTTAGGTTCTAGGATAAAACCCAAACTCACTGTCACCAAGTTGAATCCGACTCCTAGCAACCCCAGGACAGAGTTTCCAGTGGGTTTCTGAAACTGTAGCGCTTTATGGGAGCAGAAAGCCTCCTCTTTCTTCTGCAGGAGGGATGGTGGTCTCGAACTTCTGGCCTTGAAAAACTTCAGCCGCCCAGTGCACAACCCACTCCGCCACCAGGGCCCTGGGATGAAACTGTAGCAACCTTTTTCTACCTCCCCCTTTTTGGCTGCGGCACCCTGACATGGTCACGAAGGACCCTAAGGATGATTTGACGCCCAAGTGACCAGGCACAGGCCCCTCTCCCGTGGGCTCTCCTGCTGACTAGATAACAACGACAACAACAGCACCACCATAGATGGATTGCTTGCTGTGTCCCAGGCACCCAGCCAAGCGCGCTACATGCATCAGAGTTAACTAATTCCTACACAGCTATGAGGAAGCTCCAGGATGCCCCCATTTTACAGCAAGTTGCACATCCCGGACGTAGAGGGAAGACTCAGAATGCTAATGGGACCCCCGCACTCCCCCACCTGAAAGTCCAAGGGGTGATGTCCGAGGCCCCCTTTTTCTTCCCCAGATGGCACTCAACCCCAAACTCACTGTCACTGTGTGGATCCCAACGCACAGCGACTCTAGGACAGGGCAGAGCTGTCCTCTGGGTTTCTGAGACTAGAAAGCCTCATCTTTCCCCCAGGAGAGGCTGGTGGTTTCGAACTGCTGACTTTGTGGTAAGCAGTCCAGCCAATAATCACGGTGCCTCCAGGGCTCCTCCGGATAGCCTTGGGGCCCCTAAATTCTCAGCCTATTTTCACCCCCAATGATCCACCCGGAGAGAAAACGCTGTACTCAGCACATTCTGTGTAGCGCTTCAGGCCGCCCCGGGCACCGGCCCTCCCCCCACCACTTGCTGCGGGAAGTCTGACCGCCTTCTACCCCAGGAGAGGACGTGCACAGATGTGCACAGCTGGACAGCCCTGCCCCCTCCCCCGGCGGTTCCCGCTGGGACTCCAGGCCCCAGGAGAAGGGCCTGAGCTGGGTGGGGCTTGTCAAAGCCCAGTCGGGCCCCAGAAGAGGGTGGGAGCCCCAGCCTCCCTTAGGCCCACAGCCCCACCCCCACCCCAGCACCCTGAGGGGGTGTGAGAAAGTTCCCGGTGTTGAAGTCTCCCAGCTTGACCCAGGGGACGCTCCATCCCCACCCTTCCTCTCCCGAGGGCGAGAATCTGCGCTCGCGTCGGGTAAGCGGAGAAACCAGGAACAAAGGGGAGGAAAGTCATTTCCTGTAGGGAGGAAGGAAGGAGGCTGAGATCCAGCCAGCCACCTAGTCTGGATTCCCTGGCAGCCCTGGCGCTGAGGTCAGCCTGGCTGCGGAGGGCGGGGCTCTAGGGGATCCCGGCAGGGCGCCCCGCTCCCCCTTACTGTCCCCCTGCTCACCCCCACCAAATCCAACTCGGAATCACCTCTGGTCATTGTTCTTGAAAACTCCGCAAAGGCACTGCGTTTGAGTGGGGAAGTGAACTTTGCTGGGGGTGGGACCGAACCTCCTCCCCCACCCCCTGTAGACTGTAGGCCTGGATGGGGAATCGATTCCAGCTCGCGGGTCTCTGCACCCCCGAGAGCACACAGAGGCAGGGCTCATTCATCCCGTGCCCACCTCTGTCCGGCTGGGTGGCCCTGAGCAGGTCCCTGACCCGCGCTGGTCAGGAAAGGACAATCATGCGGGGTGTCCTGCAGAGTGGCTGGGAGGATCCCGGTGCGGGGTAGGTAGGTGCAGAGGAAGGCTGGGGATTCGCGCCCCACCCCCCACCCCCCGGACCTCGGGGGCTGGGCCCGCCGCGGCGCACCCACTGGGACCTGGCTCCCTCCATTAATCAGAGCAGGAATTTGGGCGCTGCCCCAGCCTGTTCTCGGGGTCCGCAGTTCTGGACTAGCGGAGAGCGCTGCCAAGTTCACCCAGGGGCACCGTGAATGCCGCTCAGTCCCTCGGGCTCCTCCTCCTCCTTGCCCGACCCCAGCTGGGAAGAGGGGCCCGGGGTCCCTGGAGCTCCGGAAAGCCCGGCGGTCTCCTGCAGGCGGCTGGCCGGGTCGCCGTGGGGCGCCGGCCGGGTTTAATTCAATCCATGTGCGGGACGCTGCCTCTTTGTGCGGG